CAGTGCTGTTTACCTTTAATTTTTACTTTTCGGTGTACAGAGCCTTGGCTTGAGACTGGAATCAGATGCTTCTCTTTACCTTGGACTAGAAGAAATTGTTAGGCACCTATAATCTGTAGGGGCTGAACACTGAATGGAAATCAGAGAAGTATAAATCTAGTCCTGTCTTTAAACTGATTATGATCTACTCAGAAGAAAAATTGTGGGAGACAAACAGAGAGAATAAGCGTGGTGCCCTCTGAGTAATTGGTCCTTGGCAGCAAAGTTAAAAATATGGTTTAAGAAAGAGTTGAAGAAGTTTGGGGCAAGCCTAACATATGTTTAACAATCCACTCAGAGCCCAGAATTCATCTTAGCTGCGATTTCCAAAACCCACCTAATATATTATGGGATTATTCTGTATATATTGCATCAGCCTGCTTGTACCTTAAAGGGTTGACAGTACACACATGCACCCTAAATAGATCGCGCTGCCACCACAGTTCCTACCAGGGCCCGATCTACTTTTCAACTGTCCTCGGCATCTGAACAAGTTTAGGGCAAGAGTTTTGAGGAAGGGCTAGTGTTCTGAGGAAGGGCTAGCACTTTGAGGAGAACATTTGGCAGTAGGAGGTGGCATCGTTGTTGATTCTCATTTGGGACATTGCCACTGCCCTGGGACACTCATCTTTGGTTAGGAGATGATGTCAATATGCGAAAGAGGACAGCAGGCAGCCCTGCAGGGCAGAATGCTGACAGGAGAGTTTCTCACGTGGCGTCTCTCCAAATTAAAGGAAATGTTCTAAATGAACGGTGGTGAACTCACGCCCTGCTCTGACTGGCAGCGTTCACCGCTAAACCTGTAAGTTGAAAGACATGTAAGGCAAAATTCACCCTCGTCTCAGCCTTCAGGGGATGAATCACCAAAGCAATCCTCCTATTTCTCCATGCAGAAAGGCAGGAGGCTTTCCAAAAAAGGTTGTGGTTTTTCTGTTTCCTTGGTTCCCCAACACATAGCTCAGCCATGATCACAGGCAGTGACAGGCAGGAACCTGTTGCCTTATTTGGGAATCCTGGAGCCCTCTTTATAGGTGGAGCAGGGCAGACTGAAAAGTCTAGAGCAAAATAACAATAACAAAAATAAAGAGAATCAGATACCGGAAGTGGGCATTTTATCTAGAATAAATAGAGAAAACTGCCTGATCCAAGGAAAAAAAATTTTCATACCCACTTTTTTGTAAAGGTCTGCTAGGAAAGTATGCAGAATCTTCCGTTTTCTGTAGTGATTTCTTCCTTCTAGCCATCATGCTGTCTGCATTTCCCAGCTGCTGCAGAGACAGCTCTTCTTTTGGGGAGAGTTTGTGAATTACATCCACCAACAGTGCTCTCCAGAGATGCTTCTCAAGTGTCCCTCATTCTGACCCCCACATGTGCTGGGTAACATTTATTGTGGCATGCAGACAGCAGAAACTGATGAGGAATGGAGCCTAAGGGCAGGAATGCTCTGGATTTTATCGCTTCCTGTTTTCCCTTAGGGTGATGCAACTGGGGAGAGGGGCGCACCCAGCACAGATCTCAGCCACGCAGTGAGGTCTATAGAGAAGCAGGACTCCAGCTCGCTCTAAATCACTGGAAACTGTACAGAAAACATATGTTCCTCTGCTCAGGTATTCCTCCAGCGAGGCTGCTGCCAGCTACCACGCCTTTCTACTCTCTGTTTCTCCAAATATGAGATCGCCCAGCTTAGAAAAAAAAGGACAGTGGGAAAAGGGAGGGAGACAATGAAGCAGTAATGGGTGTGTCAGCTCAAGTTGGAATGTGTGTCCATTGTCAACACCGAGTAACCAAGAAAAACAAACCCAAGTCCAGAATTCCTTCTCAGAGGTGGCGAGCGTGTCAACAGCATAACAGAGCAAAGGGTGCCCTCTGCTGTTACGGGGGATTTTTTTTTTTTAATTCAAAGAAAATTTTCAAGCTCCTTGTGAAACAGACATTATACGTATTTAAAAAAAGGAAGCCATCTTGGGGTTTCTGCTCTTTTAACCAGGCTGTGTTCTGTGTCGGGGGAGAGAGACTTGAGGGATGAAAAAGGCAACTCATGGAAATTCCATGTCACCCGGCTGCTGAGAGGAAATTGTGGCCTTGAGGGCTTTAGAAATCCGGGACAGTTTGCCTGGAAATAAAGCCGTCTCTCCGGAGCAGAGCCCTTCTTGGGCGGTGACACACTCTGGCCAGCATCTCCATTTATTTTCCTGTCCTTTCCCAGTAGACCAGTTTGGGCTCGTTATTAGATTCCTTTGTTTCCCCAAGGAAAGGAGCAAAAACACAGTTCTTACATAGGGCGATGAAACTTAGTGGCTTGGCCCACAGATATTGCACAAATATAAGAATTTTAAATACTAAAAACAAGTACCCAACTCTGATGAAAAATTAGTTATATAACTCAATGTATTTCCTAGGAATATTAACTGAGATATAAAATAATTGACCCAGATATTCAACAACATCGATGTTAATGCCTTCATATTCGCTCTCTTTCTCGTTTTTACTTTCCAAGTTGTGGGGGGTGGGTTCTATATTTTAGAAGACTTCGAGATACTGTATATCACTATACAAGTTTCTTTCACTTGTTGGAGAAATGCGTTTATTTTGTTACCGAGTCCAAACTCACCCTGCTCGCCACATGACAGGCCAATACATCGGGAGATGAGGTGTTGGGGCAAGGAATAATGACGTTATTTAGAAAGCCGGCAGACCGAGAAGATGGGGGACTAATGTCCTAGAGAACCATCTTACCCAAGTCAGAATTGGGGCTCCTTTTATACTAAAAAGGGGAGGGGGTGTGGTTTGGTGTTGCAAACTTCTTGTTGTTGGAATCCTTTGTACTTGCAGCTGTCCATGTAGGTCAGGTCATGATGTTCCTATAAACCTCCAATGACAAGTGTTATTCTCTGTTCTGCAACTTCTGATCTCTATGTGAACGGAAGACTCTTACACCCTTGGA